TTCGAAATGCATGGCCCCAAAACCCCAAAACCCCTGTATGAATGGCTGAAGCAATGAAAATAAATGATATAATTGCGATATTAATGAAATGTTAAATAGTTATATTCTCGAGATTGAGAATTAGAACTGTCTTTCAGTAGATGATTGACAATCTCCTTCCCTATATCAAATTGCTCAAGAATAGTAGGTTTGCTAGTCCTTGCCTTTGCCGAAGTAAGTGTCAACGTCTTTGGGTAGACGGCCGTCCTTGAAAGTGTCAGTGTTAGGATCATAGGATGGTAGAGAGTATATTTTATGTCTATTGAGCTCAGTTGAGATGAAATTATGAAAAGCTCTATGCTTCTTTCTGCCTTTACATTCGTACCAATCTTCTGTTTCAAGAACGCACATTCTTGTTGGCATCTCCTCAGTCTTAAGGCAGTTAACCATACGTTGCTGGAATGTGTAGCAAGGATGAGTTGTCAAACTCACTGAATGGAATGGCTCAACCATTTTGAATGCTAATATTGATAAAATTAATTAATAATTATAATTTAAACTAATAAAGTTAACAAAATGATTCAAAGTTTTATTGCAGTGTTCATTCCTGCTTTCATAATAGAGGTCTTTAGATACAATTTCTTGCCCTTCTCCAAATTATTTGATATAGGATTCAATAAAGGACCTGCTAAATAGCAAGCAAGCAAGAAAGTTGAAGAACAGGAAAACTTGACAGAATTAGAAAAAGAGATTAAACTAGTCTAAAATGAATTAAAAGATCTTTATGAGGAGTCAGAAAGGTACAATAACCCTGAAAACTATACTAAATATGCAAAGATGCAACGCCAACTAGTCTAGAAGTAGAAAGTACTTTAAATCATGATTAATGAGAATGAGCAAGAAAAATAAAAGAGACAAGCTGAAAAGGCAAATGCAGATGAGCCTAGTAACATTAAGCAGCAGAAGTAGGAAGTCAGAGAAAGCAAATAAAGCACCAGTAATTTCTAGATAAATACTACAAGGTTGATTATCACTGGAGTATATCTATTGTTTTTCTACGGAGGACCGATATTCATATTACCCAACACTCTTCCATTAAACAAAAATCTATACAAATCGTTTGTCAATGAGAACTAAATTGGCTCATTAATGTATAGTCTACTGGGTGGAAGCTTAGATTTCAGAGGATCAAGCATGTACTTCTTCACTTTCAGAGAGATATTTATCTTCAGCATTGTTGTTTCTTACAAGATTATTGATGCACTTAGACCTATCAATATGTGAAAATTGGGAATTAATTATCTAATCATCTATTTAGAATAATTTCTTCAAGTAAGGGGTTTTGGGGTTTTGGGGTTTTGGGG